TAGCCAAGCCTGTTCTCTTTAAATTCAATCTTCCCAAAGCCCATAAATCCAAGGCATTAAGAGAGAGACAAATCACAATGAATATATTTTAGGAATGTAGAAAGTAACATCTTAATATAGTTTTCTTTTCCTTCTTCCCGATTTCCCCCCCGCCTTCCCCCTCCCCACTTACATTTCCAGTCACTTTTGCAGGTTTTTCACATTTTGGGAACTGTCAAAGCTTGAAGTGATATAATTTGTGCCAGAGAGAGAAGAACAGCTTCTCCCTTGCGAGGGCTGAGGACTCAGCTCCTGGGAGTTAAGTCGGCAGAGTTTCTCCCTCTCTTGTTGGTCCTGCTGGAGCAGAAGCAGCTGGATCTAGACCTGCTGGGGACTGATGAGATGAACCTCACTGTGGTTTGGAGACAGAAAATGCCCTGTTCAAAAAGGAGGAAGAACACCTTCTTCAGGATTTGTTTTATAAATGGTCTCTGAAGACTCTCAGGTAGAGAGATTCAATAGTGGAAAAAGGCCCTGAAGGCCATATATGAAGGCTGAATCCATCTGGGCCCAGGTGCAACCTCTGGGGCTGCAGCACCATGCTAGTCCCAAGGTCTGGCTGCAGAGAGCACCTGGCTACAACCTCCCTGGGACTGGGCCTGCAAAGCAGTCCTCCTAGATGAGTCTTTTGTGCTTGACTTATTCTTTGGGTCCTGGCCCAAGGCCCAGCCTTGCTTGCAGCCCCTCCAGCACCAGGACAGGTCTCTTGGCAGGCCCCTGTGCCCAGCACGGGGACTGTACAGCCAGCTCTTCCAGAGGGGCCAAGTGGCTGAGGCCGCGTGCCAGGCTGTATGAGGGCTGAGGGGGCCCGACACACTGAGCTCATGCTCTCAGTAACCAGCCCTGTGGCCGCTGTGAGCCAGCTTGCTCGTCACTCTGCAAGTAAACATAGCTACATGGCCTCATAGCACTTGTGGCAGAGGGGAACAATCCCGTTAAAAACCCCAGGATTTGGTAGTTGGAGCAGAGGTGGCTGTCCAGGCCTCACGGTGTCCATGGCGATGGGAGCTGCAGGGCAGCAATGGCGCCTTGGGCAAGGCCGAGGGGCTCACAAGCAGCGTGTGGACAGGAAGGGCAGGGGCTGCTGGGAAAGCTGGGATTTTCCTTTTGGACAGCCTGAGTATCCCCAACCTCACTGTCATTCGGAGGGAGAGCAAAAAGGCCCAAATTAACATTCTTCCCCATTCCCCCTGCCTTGCCAGTTTGCAACTGCAGCATCTTCATTGCAAGGGAAAGGAGCATCATCATTGTGGGGGCCAGGTGCAGGGCTTGTGTGGTTTTGAAACACTGATTGGAAGTGGCAGAGGCCGTGTTTGGGGGGCTTTTGACTGGAGATACCTTTTGTCTTTCTTTCTTACAGAATAAAAAATTTAAAAAAAATCATGAAAAATCTCCCCGACTCCAAAAATATGAAACCAACATTTCTTTCACTTGTGAAATTAATATGCTGAGAACATTACATCTTCTGATCATAACTGTTTCTCCGGGGAAATAAAAATACCGCCTAGCTTCAGTAATCACAATGTGAAGGGAGTAGGGGACAGTTTTTTGCCTGTGCACATGAAGGGGACACACAGAGTTCTTGGAGCCATACAGTCCATATTGTTGTTTATTATCTATAGTAAGTAGCATCCGGAAGTTTCAGCTAAGGATCAAGCCTTAGTGTATTGGCCCTGTACAAACACCTAGTAAGAATGTCCCTACCCTGACACAAGCTTACAGTCTAAAAATGGTCCCTTAGATGGTATCACTCAGAGGGGAAGGTTAGGAATAGGATGGGACAGTGAAATGAGAAATGAACCTTGTGACTTCCTTTCATTGTCTAAACAAGAGCCATACAACATCAACGCTGATACCATCGTGTCCATCCCGTCATTAGCCAGATGTTTTAGGGCTGTGGTCCCTGGAGCGAGCTAGTCAGACAGTGGTAAGAAGGCAGCAGCTGTCCCAGTATGAAAGCACCTGCAGTGCTGCAACCCATGCTGGGGCCACAGCAGAAACCACGTCATGCAGGGACAGGCACGTGGTTTGACACTGTCCTGGGCAGGAGAGTGGGGCTGGGCTACACTGCCTTGCTCAGCAGAACAGCGCATGGCTGCCAAACGTGCAGGGAAACCTCTTTTCAGAAAAACTGACCTTTGCAAAGTAATTTCAAAACAAACTGCGGATTTTTTTTGTGAAGTTTTTTGCTTTTCTTTTCTGAGATATTGTAGAGACTTAAAAACATGACTGAATTCGTGCATGCCATTATTTATTGAGCTATTTATGATGGGCATAGATTTCCCTAAGCCTCTAAAGACCCCTCCCTCCCCACTTCCCCAGCTTTAGTAATCAGTTCCCTTGTGCTACAACCCACGCTAGACTATTTTCTTCTGTCAAGTCACTCTCAAATTTTCCATCATTGGTTAAATTACTCAGGTGTATGTTAGTTTTATCTTCTTTTTTTGGTGAAATAATCTTTCAAGTCTATTTTGCCTGAGTCCCTATCATCCTTTTAGGTCTCCTGTATACCTTGTTGCTCTCCTAGCTCGCTCTTTAAAAGGCCCAGATTCAAAATACTGCTGCTACAGTGCTCAGTGCTTTACTTTGATGCCTACGATAATCAGTTGTGTCCATCAGAGCTTCCTGATGCTCTGAGGTCTCAGTGAATTGGAGCGGTTTGGACCCTTTTTGCACACAAACTTTTCTTTTTTTTTTCCTTTTTTTTTTTTTTTTTTCCACTTACTAGCCTTTTCTCAGAAGCTCCCCTCTGGATTTTGCTGCCTGTGTTCATCACAGCCTACACACCTTTTATGACCATGCTTGGCATGGGCCCTGGTTTGCCATCAGGGTGCCCCCACCTATGCATAAAGTGGCAGTTGCTTTCTGACATGGGAAGACACACTTCACTCAGTCTGTCACGTGAGCCAGCTTTAATCTAGTCTTTCCTTTTGGCTCCCTGCAGAGATCACAGATCCCTGTCTAATCCAGCTCCCTATCAACATATAGTTGAGTCATAGGAGCCTTTTCTATTGCTACATGTGATAGCGTTTTGCCATCAGAAGCAGAGCATCAGCCTGCTTGGCTGGGCGTCAGCACCGCCACCCAGCAGCTCCCCTTGTCTAGAAGTTGTTTTGATTCTTTTCTTAGACTTCTCCCTCTGTGTGTCTCACTCTAAAACATTAATTTCCTCTAATTAGAGCCTCCTTAACAATTCTTTTTTCCCCCCTCTCCTCTATTAATTTCCTCTAATTAGAACCTCCTTAATAATTCTTTCACTAAATCAATTTCCTCAGTTAGAACCACCCGCCATAATTTCTTTCCATCCTTTCAAAACCTGTCGGAGTAGCTAAGCAAATTATGCTTCTGAGTAATCTTTATCTCTTACTTGGTATTTTAAAAGAAGAACTGTAACAGGTTAGACAGGCACAATTTCCCCTGGCAGAGCTACACTGGTCTGACCCCATTAGGGTGTACTTAGCTGAGTGTTATACTATTGTGTACTTAATTAGGCGCTTAGCTCTTCCTCTGGAACCAAGGTAGGGTTGTATTTATGAATGAATTAAACATGACACTTCATTACTCAGATCAGATTTACATGTCAAAATCCATCTTTAAAACAGATCAAATTGCTGTCTAAGAATATATAAAATGGCCTGGTCCTGTTAGTTCTCCTGTGAGGCAGCCATTCCTAACAACTTCTCTGCAGCCATGCCAGCTTTCTTCTTGTGACAAGCCTTTAAAGTAACAACTGCTTCTAAAACATGCTGTTTGCAAAAGTCTTCTTTGTTTTTAATTTAGGCAGTAAGTAAATATTCATGGTACACTGCTTTTCACGACCACTCATGCTGTGGGCCGAATCAGCAGTTAGTGAAAATGGGGAAGCAGCTGATTTACATCTTATGAACCATGGGTCTTAGTTTCCACTTCTACATTATACGATTTCTTCCTAGTTCAGATTGTAATTCACTTTTCTCTAATCCTTTTCTTTAGGCATAGATGGTTCTCGCCATAGCTGACAGAGAGCTGGCAGGAGAGCACAAAAAAGAGGAACCATTTCTGCCCAAACTTTCTGAGAGCACTGAGGAGGGCAGATGGGGAACGCCATGCATCGCTTGTTCCCCTTCCTGATTCTGGGAAGAAAAGGGGCATAGGTTGATGGCAATTTGGAATGGGTGTGCAGTTCTCGCAAAGTCTGTTTTTTAATATAAATATTAGAAAGAAGAAAGTAAGGAAACCATCTGAGCTGCAGGAACTCTTCTCCACCACTAGTAGGTGCAGGGATAGCTGCTAGTGTTCCTTTTCCTAGTACCCATTTCTCAGGTTAGCACCTACTACACTGTTCACAGATCTGAGGATTTAAACACTTGTCCTTGTGAAGACGAGGACTGTCTCAGCTGAGACAGGCTGAAGACAGCTACCTTACAACAGGCATATGAGACACCTTCTAGTCTTCATTACATTACAGCTTTCTCCCCCTTTTGGCTATGTAAGCTGCATACTCTGGTCAAAGTCCTAAACCACGTGTCAGGATGCATTCATGGGCTCTTAGAGGGTAAGAGCCAGCCATTTAGACTCATGAAATGCTTTTCATCATCTAATGAAGATCAGCCAAGTCTCAATGAGTGGATGCCTCGGGGGCCATGTCATTCAACAAGCAGAGCAACCCATGTGGAATGCTCCCCAGATATCCTACAGTATACGCCATCTGTGCCACAACTCGCCTTCTAGGCAGGAACAAAGCATTTAGGCCAATCCCAGATACCAGCAGAAAGAAAGCTGTACTGCCATCCTCTCTGGCCTCTCTTTCTTTCTGACCTGTTCATGTCTCTAGCACTCCCACGAAGTCTATATTGATGAGGTGGTGTCGAAGTTGTAAAACCTACATTATTTCCTCTGCAGGCTTAAAACTATGCAGAAAACTTGATTTGCCATCACTTCCCATAGAATTTTGGACTGGGGTTGGATGGGAAAATGAAGCACATTCAGGTTTTTGTTTTTGACAAAATCCCTAACTTTTTGATAGGAATAGGACTTCTCTGGGCCATCTTGTAAGAAGTCAAATGCTGGTGGAGTTGGAGAAAGGGTTGTTTGGGATGGGACGATTCTCTAAAAAAACAGGTTTGGGAGAAAAAAAAATGCTGTCTAGTTCTTCTCAGAAGAGATGAGATGAGAGCAGGAAAAAGGAATCAGCAAATTGGACTGTTCAGACTGATGATTAACTATAACAGGAAGAGACGTTGTTTGCTATGCTCCTTGAAGAGCCCATTTTGCCCATTTTGCTGGCTTCCAGTCCATTCCAGTTGAGGACAAAGAACAGCTAGAGATACAGATAGGCAATCCAGTAGACAATGTTGAAGAGCAGGAAGGCGGTGGGAAAGAACACACGAGAGTAGGAGTCCAGGCGGGAGATATGAATGCGGATCCTTCCCTCCCGCCACATCCCTGTCTGACAGTCCTCAATGCAGCAGAAGAATCTCTCACATTCCTTCCCTTCCAGGCATGGGGAGCCAGGGTCTTCATCCTCATCCTCCTCTATCTCTGGGGGCCAGTGCATGATGTTGTTGATGTTGATGGTGGTGAAGGATGGCACCACCTGGACACCAGCAGATGGCTGTAACAAGGAGGTAGAAATGGATTATAAGGAAAGAAAAGGCAAGAAAGAGAGTTCTAGACACAAAAACCCATGATATTAGCAATTAGACAGTTCGTAGCATAGGCACAACTGCCCATGGAAAGGGTTGACTGATCACTCCCTGTCTCTGCACCTGGTTTTAAATCACAACCATGGCATATTGCAGGGATTAACCACTCCCTACAGGACTTCAAGTTACCTCCCTAGCATCTTATGCCACAGCTTTAGACAGGAAGATCTAAATGCTCTGTTTTCCCATCTCTAACACTAATACTCAATGCATCAAACTGGGACTCTTCGGTTTCAGCTCTGCCAACCTCTTTCCTCATTCCCCTGAGCTCAGCTATCTCTGGAGACACAGCACGTAGCCCAGACATGTCCTCTGGTTGCTGTCACCTGCAAAAGGAAAGCCGGGGGAAGGCTGTGACTCATAAGCTCTTGCTCCAGGAGATGGAGCATATCATCAGTTTTATGGAAGAACTCCCTCCACCCTTTCTGGGAAATGAGGCTGCCCAGGAAGAGATCTGGCTTTTTTGTTTTCAATTTGGACCTAATTCAGAGCCCTGTTTCCGCAGGAGTACCTGCCATGAGCTTGAATAGGTCTAAATGGCATAAAGGCCACTTTGGGTTTAATATCCCCACACTTCATTAAAGACACTACATTTCTTGATCTCTGCCATCTAAGATGCCTTCGGAGTCCATGTAGATCAAATTAGTCCAGGTTGGAGAGCCTAGATGTGGACTGCCTCATCTTAAAGCAGACGTTTGCATTTGGTCATGAGTCACCCTAAACTGTACTGATAAGCTCTGCAGTGACTGCGAAAAGAGACTGGGTACCTGGCACTGTACGGGATGACCTTATTGTAGGGGAGCTTCAGTCAATTTTTTTGGTTGTGTCTCACCTTTCGGGTCCTCAGACCCAACACAAAACATGGTTTGAAGGCCTCATGTACACAGGATTAGCGTGTTAAACAACTAAACAACTTCAGCAGTTTCCAGTGTAGGAGCAGGAGGAGTAATCCTAAATGGCTTGGGATTCTAAGAGCATCCACCTCCACTTGCCCCTTACACCTACCAGCCTGGTTTTCCTGCTGTTGTGCTCCAGTGGTTTCTTGTTTCCCACCAGGTAGTTGAGTGTGGCATACTCCATGAGAGCTGCGAAGACGAAGATGAAGCACACAGAGACAAAGAGGTCCATGGCTGTGATATAAGAAACACGGGGAAGGTGCTTGCGGGAGATGGTGCTCAGGGTGGTCATTGTTAGCACAGTGGTGATACCTAAGAGGGAAAAGAGTTGGTTCAGGTAATGAAGCGTACCACTTCTGTCTTCTGCATGCTCTGGATTGCCAAATCCCTGTTTTTCATCTCTGAAGGACCTGCCTGAACAGTGCAGGGGTGGGAGTCTCCCCTCCTACTGAAAGGAAGGTATGAGGGAGCAGAATGTCAGAAAAGGATCTGTACAGCACTCTTTTGGAAGCAGCCTTGTTGGACTCCACAAAGGACAGCATCGTTCTGTTCAGCCAGACTGTGGTCCTGCAATGTCCCATAACAATGCTCCATGGAATCAGATCTGTCTGAAATCAGGTCACACGGGTCATCAGTGTGGGCTGGTAAAAGAGTAGGGAGCTCAGCCCCTGTTTAAAGCTGCACATGATGAATAGCTGCTTGGATGACAAGAGGAGAATCCATGGGAAGGACATGCTAACATAAGCTATAACAGTGACAGATGGTTTTGGACAGTCAATGGATGAGTTGGGATTCAGTGACTGATGTCCAGCTGAGCCAGCAACAAGTGTGACAATATGACAGACATCACAGAACTGCTATTTCTGGATGATATGAAGCATGGTCCATGTGAACCATGCAAACGGCCCAGTGTGTATCCTCCCTTTATCTTTGAACATTTTCTCCCAGGATCAATTTGGCATAATGCAAGGCTCATTGAATGGGCAGAAATGGTAAGGAAATTATTTTGATATGAATAGGACTTGGAATAGCTTTTGAAACAGCAGCAATGCTCATAGATGTCTTTCTAGAGACCAAGTATCAGAGGACAATGCAAGTCAGCCCCAAGAGTTAACATTGTTGGATTTCATCCACCACTTTTAAGATGCAGAGAATGAGCAGAAACTCTTATGGCTCCTTTTTCTCAGTACTGATCTAAATATGCCTGCATGTCACTCTCTCCTTGGCTCACCCCAATGGCCCTGGGTGTATTTTCCTGCTGTATTTGCAGCTGTGATGTGACTTCCTATATATTTGAAATGCTGATGGAAGTGTCAGGGCTTATATCTCTCTAGTGTAGCCTGATGGGCTTGAATTGGTCTGGGGATCATTTGTATGAAGTACATCAGGGGCTGTTGAGAGAATACACTATTCTTGATGTGCTGAGGTCCCTTCCCACAGACAGACAGCCCCTCTCCTGGTGGAACCTGCCTGTGCTTTTCGAGGCAGCAAACAGAATGGTGTCAACTGTGTAGAATATTTTGCCCTTTGCTGCTTATTCCTTCTCCAGTCACGGACTATGGCATAACCTCACCTCCATTGGAAATGAAACCCAACTCCTCCTCCTGTTTTTCTCTGGGGGCGCCAAAGAAATTGATTTTGAGAGGAAGGTGGGGAGAGATGTTTAGAACAGAAGAACTCAGATTAGCCCTGCCTAATGCTGACAGCCCCTCGCCTCTCCCTCCCTCCTGGCAGAGGCTGGCATTTAAGGAGGGCTAAGGCAGGCTAGGAAGCAGAGCTTGCTGCAAAATACAGATATAGCCAAAGTGTGTTGAAATGTGTGAAGAACTCTCTCCTGCTCCTATAAGAGCAGGATTAGGTCAACATGAGATTTATCCTGCTTTGAAGAGCCACTCCAGATTACTCAACAATAAGCTGTTGTCACATCCTGAATTCCCACTGTGGTGTGAATTGCAAAGAAAAGTTGCATCTACTAGGCTTCCACCTTCTGCCAGTGCCCAGGACTGTATAATATGGCTCAGCATCTTTGTTCTTTGACCTTCATGTTGTTGAACCCACCTTGAGCCCTTGAGAAATCATGAGGAAATGCAGAATTGCATTTGTGGCAGGAGACCTTTGAACAGTATTGCAATGTTACATCATACCCCTTCCCTCTCACTTCAGAGTGTAAGAATACTACATGGTCAGCCTGGAGGAGGCTATCACAACCTGAGGAGGGAGTGTCACAAACAGGAAGATACAGAAGAGAATATCTTCCAGGTAGACGAGTAACATCCAAAAAAATGTGAAGTGCTTTAGGAACTTTCCCTTTTCAACACTGCCAGCCTGGTACTCTTGCAGAGTTCACAAATCACCAGACATGCAACAACAACTCTCTTACCCAGAGATGTCCGGGCTGGTGTGGAATCCCTCTTGATCCAGAAGGAAACCCAGGACAGAACAACAGTCAGGATGCAGGGAATATAGGTTTGAATGGCAAAATAACCCATACGTCTACTCAGATCAAAAGAAACTGTCATCACCATGTACTCCCCTAGGAAAGAACAACAGAGACATTGGAATTATAATGTGGCTTCCTAGAAAAGTAAAATTTGAGAATTTTGAGTGTTTCTATTGAGGTTTTCTTGTTTGAAGTGTATGGCTGGCTGGTTTTGCGGCTGGCCTGGCTAGTTACATTCATTAATAGCTGTGAGACTAGTTATAGCTTTCTATAGAAAGCTATTTAGGTGTAACAGGATACATGGCCCACTGACCAGTTCTCCAACTAACTCTCTGAGCCGTGGCAAAGAGGTCCTTCAAAAACTTTTGCTGATTCTCTGGTTCTATCCCTGAAAATGTCCATGTGGCGCTGCACATTCTCATTGCTCACTTGACAACTTATATCCCAAGTTCTTCTGTTTCAGAGGCTTACAGAGTTAAGGTTGAGATGGAGCTTGTACACAATTACTGAAAAAAGAATAACAAACATCAGCCAACCACTGGTTCCGCAAGAGGGGGTCTGAGCTCCATCTCCTCTCCCACCTGAACCCTTTGATTAAGGGCAGGTTAATTCATAGTAGCATTGTCCCTCCACAGCCCACAGATATCAGCAGTTATGACCCGCCCTATACTCTGCTTTCCCTCATCCTTCATCTCCATCACCTCTGTTGCCTCTAGCAAAGGCCCATTTTCTCAGTCTGAGGTTCTTCACATCAAGTCTAACTCCCCTCGACTCTGTCCTGTTGCGGCCTCTTTTCCCCACCATCACAGAGTTGCCCGATAACTCCGGTATCATCCACAAGGTATCTGACATGCTGGCCTTTCCATAATCTGTCTCTCTCTGGCTCACCTGCCCCAGTCCTGAGGACCTCTGAGGTGTTCCTCAGCCCTGTGAAGTCAAATTGGTAAAGTCTCCAGGTGCGCTGGTCAGAGACCTCAATGGAATAGCGCCTCCAGCGATAGACAATCTCCTCTCGTGGATAGCCATCTGGGAAAAAAGGCAGGGACATGACGGGGAGAGGGTACATGATGCGGCTGTACCCTGTCCCCCGTCTGGATTGCAATAGCTTTGGCATCTTACTGTAGATGCTTTGTAAACACATCTGAAGCCTTTGGGCAAGTATTTTGATGCCCTTGGGTTAGATTCCCCCAGACATCATCCCTGTTCAATATGAGTAGGGCCCTAATCTCCCTTTGTGTGCAGATTATGAATCCAAGGGATATGAAAAGCAATGCTAGAAAGAGAGCCTTTCTAAGCACAGGGACCTGGCTCCTGCAGGAAGGAGTGGGGCTTCTCCTGGCTCTGCTTTCTTGGCAAAGATATAAGCCTAGTGTGAAGCAGGGACCTCAACACCTACCAGG